CAACAGTGTGCTGGAAGTTCTAGCAAGTCTAATGAGGCAAGAAAGGAAATAAAAGGCAGACAGATTGGAAAGGAAGAAATAAACCCATGCTTCTTTATATAAGACATAACTGCTAGTGTGCAAACTCCCAAGAAAACAAAAGAAAGACAGACATAGAAGTAATGAGTGTGTTCAGCAGTGTCATAAGACTTGGGATGGACATTGAAAACTCTCGCATTTCTCTCTGTGGGCAATGGGAACTCAAATTAAAAATAAGTGTTTATAATCACTCTTGAACAATGCAATACTAAGGTGTAAGTCTAGTATTTACACCTAGAGAATGTGGAAATGCTGAAAGCCACACAATGCTGATGCAAGAAGTCACGGGTTTAAATAGAAGGAGCGGCATACCATGTTCATGGATTGGATCACACAGTAATTACCAATTTACTCATAATAAACAGTAATAGATACTCTCAAACTGACATACAGACTCAGTGCATTTCCTATGAAAATCACAGCAAACCTTTGTAGATACAGAGGTGTGTGCATGTGTGCATATACACATGTATTTGTACATTAAGCATGTAGATTTCTTAGTTCCGTTCACTGAAAATACTTAAAGACTAATGCATTAACAGTGAGCTCTGCACACCCTGTGGCTTAGATGTTGGTCTCAAAAGTCATTCTTCCACTAAAATCAGCAAGGGATGCTTGAAGGAATGCTGGATTTCAAATTTAGGACCAGAAAAAAAATTATTTGACCAAATACTAAGAATCTGCAAATGCCAAATTTATGAAACACATTCTCACCATTGGCATGACTATATTAAATATGATAAAATAACTAAGCTGATCTGGTATTGTCAAATATCCATATTGAACTGTAAGCACTGTGGTCATCTGTATGGAAGGATTTTAAAGTTGGAGGACCCTGGAGGACACACAAAGAAGGACTCCAGCAGTTGCCCAGTATCACAAAAGTAATTAAGCTTATCTATGTAGTCATTCAATAATTTTATGCACATAACCTAGAAAAAAATTTTGCTTAACATTGTGCTTCCCTATAACCTCAAACTCTCAATGAATGCTTGTATTTGTCTCAATGGATGCTGAGTATTGAACTTGAGTTTTAGTGTGAGACCATTAGCCTTTTCTCTAGTAATGTAATCCAGGAAGTCACATGTGAGAACATGTCAGAACCCAGGGTTTTTGTTAATGAGAGGCTCATCAGCCTAATCTTAGGTGAAAAAGGCTGCATGATGGCACAGTACATTTGATCACAAAATAACAAAATCCGCTTGCCTCTCTCACCAAATATTCACTGAAGGTCTCCAATGGACAAGGCATTTCCTGCAGCCGAACAATGTTCCTGAGGGAGCAATGCACAGTCACTGCTCAGGGTAGGTGGCAGTGACCTTACCAGGCAGGTTGGGAAGGACCAGCCAAGAAGCTGACAAGAGGAGCAAAGAGAAAGTCAGGTGGTCCAATTGTGTGTGTGTGTGTTTCATGTAGACTCACTAGATTCCCAAGCAGACCAGCATTATAGATTAGACCCTATGTGACAAGGTCAGGGGCTCCATGTACGGACCGTGCGTTCTCGGAATTGGTATTTGCATCTACTACCTGGGTGGACACAAATCGAAGTTATTACGTAGAAGGCAGAGTCCAGTTTTTGGCTTTTTTTCATTACTTGCTGGTCAAAATAATAAGTGATACTTTTACTAGCATGAAGAGAATAAATATTTAAAAAGTTAAGCATGAAGGAGAAAATGTAGGGAAGCTCTTGCCATTGGTAAATGAGAGGGAGCCATCCTGGGGGGAGCGGTCAAGGGCTCCATCTAGAAACATGCAGTGGTGAGCATGAAGATTTAGAGAAGGGGAATTTGGGAAAAATTTTCAAATGAGAGAGTTTTAATTTTTCCCCAAAAGTAGGAAATACAGATAACTACTGAGAAGTGGCAAATCTAGGGCTGGTACTAGAAACTTGAACAGAGGCAAAAAGATTTCTCACATTGATGGGGAGCCACCATTCATGCTTGAATCCTAGCTATTCTGGAGAGCAGAGATCAGGAGGATGGAGGTCTGAAACAGGCCCAGGGAAAAAAGTTCTCAAGAGCCTGTCTCAACCAATAAACCTGGATATGGCACCACAAGCCTGTCACCCCAGCTAGCAGGAAGCAAAATAGGAGGATCACTGCCCAACACTGCCAGGCATGCAGCAAGACCCCACTGAAAAATAATTAAAGCAGAAGGGGCTGTGGGTGTGGCTCAAGTGGCAGAGCACCTGTCTAGCACGTGCAATACCCTGAGTTCAAATCCCAGTGCCACTGAAAAGAGGTGGGTTGGTGAGAGGGAAAGAGAGAACTGAATGAGGGAACTCGTAACCAAACAGGATGGATCTGAGACCTCAGCATGAATGGTGGCAGATGCAAAACATTCCAAATTACAGTGAGACCTGATGACTGTCCCGCTATTGGTTCAGGTTTGGAATGACTGGGACACAGGACAGAGGAAGCATATCAAAGGTAGCATCTGCCCCTTTGGCTGGCCCTAAGGTTCAGGGTGTATTGAGACCTGAATGAAGGGGGAAGTGTGGAGGAAATGAGGGGGAGGAGCTACCGATGGGAATGAAGGGCAAGTTCAGAAAGAGAGGACAGAGCACAGACCATCGGAGACGGGAGTCAGGGACTTGAATATCTTGGAGTGTCTACACCAGAAATACCTGGGGGAAACTGGCGTGTGCCAAACTCTAAAACCTGGTTCTCATGAGCTTTGATGGCGAGGCTGACATACTGACAAGCATGTCAAGAGAAATCGAGCTCAATTTCCATGAATTCTCCAACACTGAATTGGAGTAAACCTGCCAAACACATGTGGACCTGGCTGGCGATGGAACGTCACAGGAAGGCTTCAGAGCGCACCACAGTACTTGTTACACCTTACGTTTGGAAGACGTCTTTGATCTGCAAGGAACTTTCATGTATATTTCATCACAGTATTAACAATATGGTGAGGTATTTTTACCACCATTTTACAGTTAAAAAATAGAACTTTGGGACATGAAGTGGCTTGCAGTGTTCACATGGATTCAGAATGGGTTATGAAGATGGGGTGGGTTTTCTTCCATGGTGTTTCTGGGCTCTGCTGTCCTAACATGGGAAGTCAAACTTCTAGATCAAAGGATTCTCCCCTCAGCACCGTGAACGTGTGGGGCTATCCTGATTACTGTAGGATGCATAGCAGCATCTCTGTCCCCCGTTGTTCCAGTTGTGACAAACAAAACCGTGTCCAGGGTTCCCTGGAGGACGAGAACACCCGGTTAGAAGCACCACCCTACATCACAGGATTCTGCACCAGGGATCCAGCAGCTCATGGTTTCTATGTGTATGTAGGTCCAAGGGGACTGCTATTGACGAAAACCAGTGCACGGTCAGGGCAGTGCCACTGAAGCTTGAGCCACTTTCCCATTTCTGCACAACTTCTGCTAAAGACAGGCTGCCTTTCAACACATCTTGATTTTCGCTTTATCACTTCACGTTTGCCTTACTTTCAGGGAACCATTTGAATTTTGTGAGGCACAATGTTTTTTCACAAAATTGAGGGTAGGGACACACTCAGCAGATCACACAACAATTTAAACACAACTCACAGGACTGAGAGCTTGTCTGCAATTGAGTTGTGTAACGTGGGCGTGGGGGTTGAAATTTCATTTGGTTTTTTTATTTATAATTTTTTGATCATGCTTGGTCAAACCCATGAGCAATAAGTCTATGAGTCAGCAGGCCTTACTGTCTAATGTGTAGCTCGCTTTGTAGTGCTGCTAAGCCATGTTCTGGGTCAAGTGTAACAGGCTTGACCCAGGTAATTATTTAGCTGCACCAGGAAGTCTTTAGTTCTTTAACACTGCCCCTGAGCTCAGCCAGTCTTCTCCCCCAAATTCATGGGACAACAAGGAATCGATGCTCACTGAGGTTTTATTGCAAGGAGGATGCAGTGGACAGTGGGGGACTTAAAAGCCACATAGGAGGTGTGACTCACCAGGGACCATCCATCTGGCCCTACTCTGGTTTCCTCCCACAGGCCTCACGCTCTTCTTCCTGTATCTGTTCAGTCCCCTCCTTCTGCTGCCTCTCTGGAAATCCCTGGAGGAGTGGGGTCTCCCCACTCATGCTGGGGAGATGGTGAGATGAAGTGCCATTGGTCAGCTCCCTGGTTTCGTTCTGATTCACTGAGACAAAGGACAGCCTGTCCTACCCTGACCAGTGTGTAATGTCCCAAGGTGTTTCTACAAGAGGTAGATGTTGAAACGGGTCCTCCTTCTGATGGATGTGTGGCTGGTCTCGATTCTCATGACTTTGGAAATTCATGCTAGCTAGGATAGAGCTGTAACAACACCTCTCTCAATGACCAGGTCTCCCACCCCATAGCTGATACCACTAAAACCAGACAATAAAGTCACTTGAGTGTATTAACAAATAAACTGTGATGAATAAAATTGTCCTTTGCGTGACCCAGAGTTAATTGTTCTCTGTATTTTCTTCACTTGAAAGGCTTCAGATTAAGCTGGGCACCAGCGGCTCGCACCTCTAATCCTAGCAACTTGGGAGGCTGAAATTGAGAAGATTGAGGTTTGAGGCCAGCACAGGCAAATAGTTTGCTAGACCCCCATCTCCAAAATAACCACAGCAAAATAGAACAGAAGTGTGGCTCAATGATAGAGCACCTGCTTTGCAAGCACAAAGCCCTGAGTTCAAACCCAAGTCCAACCAAAAAAAAAAAAAAGACTTCAAATTAGCTGGAAATCAGAAGAAAACTTCAAAACAGGTCAGGAGAGGTGATCCTTGTTTAATGTACAAAATGAGAACACACTGATGATGGCTTTGAACTTGGATGGGACCTGAAGAAGCTTCTTTTATGAATAATTTCAAATTTCAGTGGAATCTGGTTAGTCTTGAAAGGAATTTATTTTCATGGTCATGAGTAATCTTTAGTAATTAGGCTATTTTCTCTTATTATAGGTAATGTATGAAATTGTTGGAGCAATTGAAAAAAATAAAGATTCCCTTTCACAGAATCTTCTATTGGTCATGAAAAGTAAGTTGATTTTCCCCCTACACTGGTTAAAATGTCATATGTTTCTTATTTCTCTATCTCTGCATATTCCCCTATAAAATGTGCTGCCACCTAAAGATAACTGATGTATCTTTCACGTTCTAATGTCCAGAATAATGAGGAATGGGCCTGGCCATACCTCACACGGGTTTCAATTCAATTTGGAATCTGGTAGAAGCCATAATTTAACTAAGCTTTTAGCAGATAAGAGTGTAAAACACCTTCACCACTTTAGTGGTGTGGATATAAAAAGCTCTTCCATGAAGACTAATGAAGATGAATACAGCTTCCCTAGTTACTTAGGCCACAGAAGGGTGACTTTCATTACTTAGGATGGGGTGGGGCTCAGTGAGGGGTGGGATTTTATTCTTATGCACTTGCAGTTGTAAAGAATTAATGCCCACTAAGAGAAGGAGCTGATAAATTTATACGGATGTAGAAATACACACAATACATAAAGAAACTCATTGGTCCTTTCTTCTTAGAGGGCATTACTACTTTATATGCATATATAAACTGCAATTCTATATGTAAACCATATTCTAAATTTATATATACCATAATTATATATATATCATCCTGTCTTCTAGTGACTAGCAGTTCTGCAGTGATTCACATTTTTCTAATAACTGTTTTAATGAATTGAAGCATATCACCCTTTATGCTTTACGTAGCTCATGATGCAGTCCTTTATCTTTCCCTGGGGTAAGAGGCATGTGACAGCCTTTCATGAAGTTCTTTGGGTTGGAGACCAGGCATCTGTATCACTTCCGATCTGAAAAGCACACCTGCCTTCCATCACAGAGACACAGCTGTGACACACTGTGTTCACAGCAGGCCACTCTGCTTGCTTTGCACACTGTGGTTATTTTGAGTTCTCTCAGCTGAGACTAGGCGTGGAAACATAGAGGGAGATCATGAAGAAACAAGATTGAAATAATTAATTCTTCTTGTGATGGTTTTTCTGAGATAGGATCTCATGAACAATTTGCCTGGGCTGGCTTCGAACCTTGATCCTCCTGATCTCTGCCTTCTGAATAGCTAAGATTACATGTGTGAGCCACTGGCACCTGGCTGAAATAATTAATTCTTTATCACTGGGATATCTTCCTTCTAGTTTGCATTATTTTAACCTTCACTTTTAACACACTTCCCTTTCAGTTTTTTCTCATGTGAAGATGCACTATTGACATGTTTTAGAAATTGCACTGGGCTTTTCTTCATTTTTTTTAAAATTTCTGGTGGCAGAACATGTATACATGTACTTAGAACATGATGGGTGGTGGCATGGCGATTTTACTTATCTTAATAGAATGTTGACATTTTGGAGTCATTCTTTTATGCACGTTGTTAACAAGTTCCAAGAAAACACAAATGAATATTGTCTTCTTCAAAGCAAGAGAACAGAAGCAAACCTGATTGATTCTGCACTAAGGAAACTGCCTTTCCTCTTTGTTATTGACGATTTGTGAGGAAGTGCTTTGAGACTGTAAATGTTCAGATCCTCATCAAACTTTCACCTGTTTCTTTTGTATAAGTTAATCATTCCTCCTTAAATCAACTATTTCTCCCATGGTTGTGTAAGCCCCATTTTTCCATACTTTCTGCTATAACACACCAATTTTTCTTTCATCTATCAGCTCATTTATCATCAGTATGGGCTGATAGGTTCTTATTTTATTCAGTAAGTCATAATCCACACTATGATTATGTCAACGGCAGTCAGACCCTATGGGCAGCTCCCATGCCTTTCCACATCTTCCACCCATGCATTTTCAATACCACCTTACTTCTTCCTTCCACAATCGTGACCCCTCCTCCTGGCAGCAATTCTGCTAGCTGTGTGCTTATTGATATAGTCATTTGTCACCAAAGGCATTGCAGACATGAATTTTTATCTGTCCTATTTTGCATCTGGGCAGGCAGGATAACTTGAGTGTGGAAAAAGCAGACACTAAACTGCTTTGCTGCTAACTGTTGCTCAGTGTCTGATGAGCAAAGCATGATCTTAAATATGTCACATCATTTTACATTCTGATTTTGCAATAATCTTCAAGGTGGGGACTGCCTTTGCCATTTTACTTAAAAAGCTACTTAGGCTCAAAAATTATTTGTATACAGAAATAAATACAAAAGAATGTTTCTTTCCAGATCTTTAAAACACTATTACATTGTTCTCACTGTACTATCAAAATCTGTACTCCAGAATCTGCTCATCAAAGTCCACTTTCTCCCTGAAAGGACATGTAGAAAATCTAAACCCTGAACTATTAAATTTTTATAACCTGACATCTAAAATCTATCAGCTTGCTTTTACTTCTACAGCTTACTGGGCCAGAAAAGTGACATCCCTCCCTCCAACCTTCTTCTTTACCCTCATAACAGATGAAACCAAAGGGCAGGGTCTCCCTTAGATATTTAAATATCCTGCTAGAGATTGGGGAAATGTTTCCCTACATGGTTATTTTCCTGGAATGGGGAGCTGTTGATCAAATCTTCTGAGCTGGTTAAGATTCAGTGCTGACAACGAGGATAGGAGGGAGTGTTGCTCAGAGAGCAAGATGGTGGTATCAGAATGGTGGCCAAGGACAATGAAGGTCACAGCCTATAGGAGGACGAATAGTGGAGGAAAAAGGTAGGGCCATAGGGGAAGGGAGACTCCTCAGTCCACTGTACCAATTTGGACTTCCATGTATGTTTTTGTGGTTAACGTACTTCCATAAGGAATAAGCTTAGTGTTCAATGAATGATTTTAACACCACTTACAATATTCCTTTATTTCCTAGCTAGTGAAAATGTCGTGATCAATCATTTGTTCCAGTCAAAATTGTCACCAACAGGAGCCCTCATATCTTCCCATCCTTCCTTTAAATTCCGACGACATAAATCCACTCTGCTCAGTAAGAAAATGACAGCTTCTTCAATTATTGGAGAAAACAAGAATTATCTAGAACTTAGTAAGGTAGGACATTTCGTGACTCTTATTTTGATGTTTTTAAGTTTCCTTAGTATATTTTCTTCTTCCTTTTCTTTTTTACAAAAAGGCACAGTTTTAAATACCAATGGAAACAAATAGAGATTGTAACAGGATTACAGGGAACAACATCCACCTGCGGTACGACCATCCAAGAGAGGACAGCCTAGGAAACGCAGTGTAGTATGAATTCTATAGCAAGGACAGTATCAGGGAACCTGCTGGTCATCTGGATGACACCCTATTTGTGTGTTTCACTTTTGCCACTGCCTTTTTGATGACTGGAAAGTAAGTTTGAGGCAAGATGCCTGAGGAAATAAAGTCAGCTACCTTATCCTATTGAAGGATTGGGTTCTAAACAGTTTTCATGACTGTTACAGAGAATTCTTCAGGTGCTGCAATATTTTCACTGTGTATTTGTAGACTTTTATTTCTGGCAGGATACTAATTTTTAATGTTTATTTGTTCTACATAAATTTGATTGTCCATACAACTTAAAGGTTCGATTTCTAAAAGAGAACTACAAACTCCATAAAGAGTTATTTCAGGTTGATGAGGACATATATATGCAGTGTTTTAAGTTTCTTAAGAATACAGTGCTCGATGCATTCATTTTTTTTCCCTGTCTGTTTCTACCAAAACCATAGAAGAGCAGACTATAACTCAGAAGGTGTTTAGGACAACCAATTTTAGAAATGCAGTTGTTGGGTTGCTGGAATTTATCTTAGCTTTCCAATTAACATGAAAGCATGATTAAGATGAATGCTCTTTCAGAAGAGTGGCAGGGGTGTGTGCGCGTGTGCGCGTCACCCAGCAGGCTCTGGCATTAGGAATCCTTTGAAGCACTTGTTCCGGGACTGGATAATCACAGGAATTCAATTCACTGCACAGAAAACTGTATCTTTGACATTAAAAAGACAAAAGATTCCCCCTCCTAAGGAAAACCTTTAATTCTTGGGGTCTTGTGCACCTTCTGGCTTTCCTTTTTCAACCATTTTGCAAATCAAGAGCAAGAAATCATCACAGACATCTGAACTGGAATTTTTAACCTCAATTATTAACATGATGAGGTGAGGATGCCATTAGGATTTCCCTGAAGGACTGCAAAGGGACATAATTCACAGTGGTGTCCCCACCCAGAGCAGGAGTGGAGTGTTCCATTTCTGCTCGGGGACAAAGGTGTGCTTGTTATGACTGTTCCTTCTGAGTTCCAGTCCTTGCTTCCCTGGTATCTCCTCTTACCACCCTCGTCCTTGACATCCTTCCCGGGCCAGGAAATAGAATTTTTTCCATTCTTTACCAAAAGCTGGTGGCCTTGCATTTGTAGAAAACAGGTTTGCCCTTGGGCCAGTTGCTTTATTTTACTTTCCTTGTCAGCCACAATTAATCCCTGCTGCCTGACATTTTATCTGAATGGAAGAAAGGAGCTCCTGTCATCTTAGTAGCATCAGATTAAAAAGAATATTCCCTCAGATTTTTCTTATATCTTTTTATAGTAAGAGAAATGACTATAGATCAATAGATTTGTTGGTCTAAGAAGATGTGATTCTGTGAAATGTGGCAGGCATTAGTGGCCTCGTTTCTTTTAATCCCTGGTGGGATTTAATTAATTACCCTCCGCTCTTTATTTCTTCACCCAATCCCCTCATTTTCACTGATTTTTCTTTTTAAAAACCTCCATTATCACTTAATCTTTGCTACACATGATTTTTTAAGGGCCATATGTAGTTATTTATTGACAAAACAGTCTATTGTCACTTTCACAGACACATACCTTATTAGACACATAGCTAATTATTTCAGTAGCTTAAAAAATGAAGAAGAAAGGAAGAGAAAGAAAACCTGTGTACCATAGAGTAGATCTGGGTACCTAAGGTGCTGACTGTCCTTCCGCATAAGGGAACAAACTAAAAGTTGTTAGAACATCATCTTTGTAACATAAAATAATTTCCTTTTGCCCCAGGACAAGTGACATTTCCTGATAAATGTGACCAGTTAGTCATGTCACTAGGATACCGCAGGGAGCTTATTGTACCAAGCAAATCGGAATCTGTGCTCATTTTCAAATCGAAGTGGGCTCAGAATAGTGGAAGATCTGATGTGGACACAACCCTGTGCTGAGGGGCAGCAGAACGGTTGGTTTAATGGAGTTGTCTGGTAACACTTCAGAAAATTACTGCTACTGGATTTTATGGTCTATGTTTTATGTATTTGCCTGTAAGTTAAATTAAGTTAAATGGCTCCATTTCTGGCTTTTCCTTCTAATCTGGAATCTAGCAAAATAAATTTGTTTTCTCTCTCTCCCCTTCTCTTGCAGTTATTAAAAAAGAAAGGAACATCTACATTCCTTCAGAGGCTGGAAAGAGGAGATCCAGTCACCAGGGCATCAGAACTCAGGGTTAGTGACCTGACACTGTCACATCCCAAAATGCAGTGTGTTTATATCAACTGTAGAACGTTTGCATAGACTTCCCCCCATTTTTAATAAGTGTTAGTACTTTTGGAAAACAGTAAACACACACAGAGTGTGGGTGAGCGTGCACTATACAGAAGGCAGAGGCCACCTCTACCAGGCCAGTGGCTCTTTGGAGAGTCACTTGCGTTTTCCTTCCTTCCCTAGAAATCGCTGGTGGAAATTATCGGGAAGCTCCAGAGGTGCAGCCCACACCTGGTGCACTGCATCAAGCCCAATAACTCCCAGCTGCCAGATGCCTTCGACCACTTCTACGTGTCTGCTCAGCTGCAGTACATCGGGGTCCTGGACACGGTGAAGGTCTTCCGATGCGGGTACCCTGTGCGCCTGCCCTTCTCTGACTTCCTGGAGAGGTGAGTCCCTCTGTGCTCCCAGTCCTTGCTTGGTCCACTGTGGTGCAGCACACTGGCACTATTGCAGCCAGGATCATCTGCTTTACTACTGTTATTATTATTATTATTAATATTTAGTGGCATTGGGATTTGAGCTTAGTATCCCCACTTGCTCTACAAAGATGAGCTTTAGTTATTTTTTCTTTTTTTTGCTTTAGTTATTTTTTCTCATAGGATCTAGAGTTTGTCCAGGGACCAGCCTCAGACAAAGATCCTCCCACCTTTACCTCCCAAGTGTTGTGTGTCTGGGATCACAGATATGCACCACCTCACACAGCCAATTGGTTGAGATGGGGTATCGCTGACATTTTTGCCAAGGCTAGCCTGGAACTACAAAACTTCCATCTCCAGGGTAAGCCACTGTGCACTGCTTCTTCTGGTTTATTTTTAAACATTGCATTACATTCTTCTATCTTGGAAAAAGAAGAGATTCTGGAATCCAGTGAAGTGCACTGACAAAACCCAACTACAAAGTGATCAACCTAACTGAAGTGAATCCTTAGGAAACCATTTTTACATTCCCGTAAGTGAATGTGGATTTCAAGATTTCTAATGTTTTGCATATGTTGACATAACATTCATTACTTCAGGAAGAAGGTATCCATGTAGTTATATCCTCCTTTGCATCCATTTAGATCACAAAACACAATTAAGATCAGAGGGTAGCAAATAGCATTCATGGGACCCTCACCCTGGTTTGTAAATAAAGTTTTATTGGGACAGAGTAGGAACTGTTCACATGCTATCTGTGGCCACTTTTGCACGTCAGTGTTAATGGAGTCAGTTTGCACAGTGTGAAGTGTTACTGGCTTTTAGAGGTCTGTCAGTCACTCTCTTAGACAAATTCAGCTCAAAAGCACCCTGTGCACTGAGCTAATTGCCAGGGGAACCTCGCTGCTGTGACTGGGTCTCTGCAGGCAGGAGACCCACTGCTCCCACAAAGTCTCACTCACAGTCTTTGGGGAGCACCACACCTGCCCAAGGTGGCATCAGCTTCTCAGGGTCTACCTGTCTTCATAGGTGTTTTTATTCAATTAGAAACATTAGTCTGACTTTAACCAAATCAATAATGCTAAGGAATCTATCTTAGAGAAACTACTTGGTGAACATTAACTCAGTTTACAAATATAAGGTAGTGGGCGCTTCCCTGTCCAAGCCCTTACATGGTGCCTTGCTGTGGCCACACTGTCTTCACTTGAAGAAGCTCCCAGTCCAGCAGACAGATTAATGCACAGCAAAGAGGAGCCATTTGCACCGTCAGTGGTTCAAATGTGCACAGTGTTACAGAAACACAGGAAGAAGCCATTTGGAATCAGAGCCAACGTTCAAGAGAAGCCAATATTAATCTTGAAGAAATAATAATATCTGGTTTTAGTCATTTGAAAAACAAAGAAGGGTGGGCAAAAAAGAAAACCAGAATGTCCTTCATAATCCTATATAATCTAAGATGAAATTTGAAAGTAATACTGATATAGTAATATCAGTATAACAAGTGTGAAATCTAGCATTGATGGTTAAAAGCCACAACTTAGTATGATAAACCATTTAATTTAAGAAGCATTTTAACATTTTGTTGACCAACTTACTTTAAGTTATCAATTTGAAGGAGCTGGTAAACAAAACAAAAAAACAAGTCACTAAATTAAAATGCTTAGTTCAGAGTCATAGTTTATTATTTAGATATAGTTTAAATATTATACCCATGACTAAAAGTCTATGCTTAATTTTTATAACTTTTTTTCAGAAGAAATTAGTTGCATTTGTTTATTGTACATTTTGGTCAATTTCACAAAGACACAGAGAAGAAAACAAACATCACATGAAGTCTGCCTGAGCCATTGATTTTAAAGAAACTGATAGAGAAACTTCAGAAAATAGACAATAAACTCAGCCCACGGGGAACATACATGTTTAATGTACAGAATACATATTTCAGACAGATAAGATAATTGTTATTAAAAACTCATATGATGCTTAAAAGGGAGATGACAGACACATTGTCTCTTAAATTACAGGGAATAACTGCAAGAAATAAATTAAGCCTGAATGTAAGAAGGAACTTTGTGGGTGTTTGGACACAAGCAGTGGCAGCATCTCATTGATTACTGTGCGTTAGGCGCCTTTGCTTAGGATGGCTCTTAACTGTCTTTTTCTATTTCCTAGGCAGAATCCATTTGTAGTCTTCAGGGGCGTTTGGCTTGTTAATGAGTATAGATTTTTCACACATGACAGTTCGCCTGCTAGAAGGCAGCCCTCCTGCCACATTAGGTGCAAGTGGTCTTCGGGTGAATGAGGTTCAAATGTGTCTGTATATAAGTTTACAATAAGAGACTTCCAAATTTACTCCAGAACTGAATTAGAAGCAACAGGAATGGAATTCAAGGATGCTCTGATTAGCAACTCCATCCATATTTCAGTAGGGAACAATGAAGACTACAGTCCCAGAGGTAGGGGTAGGGAAGTGATCTGTAGAGCGCCTGGTCTCTGAGGGTCCTTAGCCCCCATGAATTACAGTTTGGTAGGTAGAACTAACTCCCTTTCCAAGCTGTTCATGGTCACTCAAACCAAACACCCGTTAAACCACAGGCTCCTGGGTCCTCTGCCAGAGTTTTAGTTCTGGGAAAGGTTTATGAACTCTAGCAGTTCTACAAGTTTCCAGGTGATGCTGAAGTTGTTGGTGAATGGACAGCACTTTGAGAGCCCCGGATAATCACTTAGGGACAATGCCTTAATAATTAAAACATTATAGGGAATATAAAAATCTCCAGCCCAGCCCAGAGGTAGGGAATCCAATATGAAAATGTGTCAAGACTCCCAAGTGACCAGGATGCAAGTTTGAGAAGCACTGTTAATGGACTCCTTCAGTGGGTATGACATAGAATTCATTGCACCCAATAAAAAGTTCATTTAGTGCATATTTGTTTCTTTGTCAGAGGGTCTTAGAATCTTGGCATTGAAGTAACTGCACTGAAGGGCCCCACGGGCTCCAGTTGAACTTTTGATAATGCATGGATCTCCCCAGCTACTGCTCCAACAGACAGTTTTCTGAATTGCTCCATCCCAGCAATAGGGTGAGGGTCATGACTGTCTGTGTAGACATATGTGTGAGTGTGATATTACATATCATCATGATTAGGAAGTCATTTCATCCTTACCTTTGTACTTTGTATATAAGACTCTATAAAGACCAACCTCAATTAAAATAGTATATATATATATATATATATATATATATATATATATATATATTTGATGTCTTACAAGATTGAGTACAGTTTTTCATATCTATGCCTCTCTTAATAGGCAAGACTTCTGGGCAGGGACCATCTCTTAGTCACAAGGTTTGTGCTTCACAGTTAGTAAACACATGTCTTTGGAAGGAACCTGTCATTGGAGACCAGTGCCTGTCCAATTTCAAGTGCTATTTCTACATCCCAGGAATGATAGCCATACCTTCGAGTGTAGTAGTGGGAATGGGAAATGGTACTTTTGAGTAAATTCTTGCATTTCTTTCAATACTCTTACTTAAAAGCAGATGTGATTTCTTCTTAGCTTTATTTCCAATGGTGTATCAGCAGAAATGGAAAACTTAACTTTTTTTGCTGGAAATTTGTCACCACCAGAGACATTATGAAATGAAGGATGCCAGTCTAGAATAATATTGCAAAAAACTTTGACCCATAGAGAGATTATCAGTTTCCACAGAGCTGGAATAAAATTCAATCAAAATATTGCTGCATCATCAAATGACATAATCTAATACTTTTAATATTCAGAAGCTTATCAGCAATCATCAAAATCAAGCCTAGAGGTAGAATTTAATAGAACATTTAGTTGTTAAATTTCAGGTGATAGAATGTATCTCTATGCAAAGTGGAACCCCTCATGTTCCACTGGTTAAATTCCTATGCAAAATATTTCTGTTCATCTTAACTGTAAGAGAATAAAAACTGTCAGAACAAATGACCCTAAGTATGCAAGAGGAATATGGTCACCACAAAAGTCTTGGATTAAAGACAGGAGAGAGAGATGTCCCGTTCTGTGGTTTGGAAGCAAGCAGCTGCTTATTTGAACATTTATTCAAATCCAACATGGTGACAAATTGATAAATGTGGAAATGACATTTCCTGGTGATGCTGAGTGGGTGCAGTGATGCTCTGGATTTTCTCTTTGGTGTCCTGGCTTTTGTAACAGCCCATGGTCCAAGTCTTCCTAATTGAGGCTGGGGGCATGCTGTCCTCCAGAGGATTAGACTTCGCAGTGTACGCTTGGATGTTATGGTCTCCTTGTGGAACTTGGCAGCTACAGAACGAGGTGGGACAGATTTACAGGCCTTGTCTCCCATATCAGGGAACTTCACAAACTTGGACATACCCAGAACTGTGAAGAAGCAGCAGGGCCAAATTATACTGTGGTCCGTGATTGGATAACCTGTGGCTGTGGATGGAGCCATGTCCCCCACATTCGGTGGAAGCTGAGCCTTTATGTGACTGCATTGCACATGAGGCCTACGGCTAAATGAGGCCATGAGAGTACCGTCCTGACCTGCTGGGATCCTGTCCTAACAAGAGACACCAGGAGCTCACACCCTCTGTCTCTGAGCATCTGAGTCTCTCTCTCTCTCTCTCTCCCTCTCTCTCTTATTCTCTCCCTCTCTGAGCATCTGAGTCTCTCTCTCTCTCTCTGTCTGTCTCCCCACCTCTGATTCTGTCTCCCTGAGTGTCTCCCTCTCTCTCTTTCTTTGTTTCTCTCCCTCTCTCTCTTTCTTTGTTTCTCTCTCTCTCTCTCTGATTCTGTCCCTGTGATTTTCTCTCTCTCTCTCTCTCTCTCTCCTGTTTCTCTTTCCCTGTCACATGAAGGAGGGAGGCCATCGGCAAGCTGAGAAGAGCCCTCCCTCACCAAAAAATGAACTGCTAGCACTGTGGTCACTTCCAGCCTCCAGAAACATGAGAAGTAAACCC